CAAAGAAAAGAAGGGGAAGACCGAAGAAAAGGTGGCGCGATGTCGTCAATAATGATATGGAACTGCGAGGAGTCTCTGAAGATATAAGGAATGACAGAAAAATGGTGGGGAGGTTGACTCGATTAGCAGAGCCGAGTTAAAGGGAACATGCTAAGAAAAAGATGTTTCACAGCGTTAACGAAAGATGCACTCGAACCTTAAGAAAATAAATTCATTCATAAGTAATGTTATGCAACAGCCATGTTTTACGTAGCTATGTTAATACACAATGCTCATGCCCGTTTAAGGTAACAACTGGTGTTAATGAAGCAAATGACATTATGAGGGTCTCGCTGTAACGGCAAAATTGAAGAGCATCGCACCAGGAAACTACTGCCACAGCTTTTCGAATTTCAAATAACAAGTGTTGTTTGAGTAGGCAGAGCACTACAAACTGGACGCGGGTAGAATCTCTTCCACAAAACACCGCAACTGCAAGGTTTTTGACTTAAAACAAGGGTAAAGATTTCCTGCTTAAAACCAATCCATGTCATCAAACGTAAAAACGGGGATACTGTCCAGTTTCTGGAAGACTGAATGGCTGGTTCGTCCAGGGGAAAACGATTTACATGCCATAGCCGAGAGTAGAAGAGCGAATGTTTGATCTGGTGCAAGTGCATATGTGCTACGAATTTTGTCAGAGAAAGCGGATGCGCATATAAAAAGCATATCTGGCAAGGAATTCAACCAGTGGAACGGTTTCACCATTCAAACGCCACGCTCTTACGGAGTAGGGAAAAACGAAATGAAGGTTGGCAAGTTGAGAGGTCGCTGTTTTTGTCACTTGACTTTCCTTGTGACGCGATCCTACCTTAGAGGTTATGGCGAGGTGTTGATCTGGCCTCAGGTGGTGTCGCTTATACTTGGGTGCCTTGATTATGTAGGCAATCAGTGCAGCTCCTGTGTTGCAAAAAAATACTAAGCTTAACGCTCAATGTTGTCTCCTCTCCATATATCGTACTAATCGTTTATCTACATCAGAAATACGAAGGGTGGGTGAGACCGGCCGAAATTCAAAATGGATCTACAGCATTTCGATTGTCAACAGGGATTACACAGTCGGTGCAGCATCTGACTTAGAACCGAGATGCACCGGGCTCGAGCTTAGGTCGAGTCACTCGACTTTCTTCTTTCTGAGGTTGATAAATGAATACTATTTAACAAAGCTGGAGATTAGACACTATGCTTGCCGCATAGCTTATATCGAAAATAATCAGCCTTGTCAGAGGACTAGCCAGTTTTAAGCCGCAGTAATTGGCAGCAGATTCGAGTAAACCGCTCTAAAAGACCTCTCACTCGCCTTGCTCGTCAGCTGTCATCACAGATCTTTTCAAAATGTGTGTGCGGTTGTTAGCAAGTTTGGCACTCTTATCCGCAGAAGTCACGTTTCCCACTTGACTATCTGTTAGCAGAGGTTTAGGCAGCATACTACATTTTTCAAATCGGAGGGTTCAAACAACAAGATTATAGTTGGTTGTCGCTCCATGGTTCTTTTAACGCGAACAACCATAACACAATGTCATAAGACAGAAGAATATCAAATCGGTCATCGACTTCTGAGCACATTTCCCTGTACAAGGTATACTGGTAATGGAAGACTTCAATGCCTACGCTAGAAACAATCAGACATGATCAGAAAGAACGGTGACTTCAACATTAATCCAGATAGTCTGTCTGTAATGAACACCGTTTTCCAGTGGAAAGACCATAGGCATAACCAGTATCAGGATATTATATTTTCGGATAACCGATATAATATCAGGATATCATACCTGACTGATTTGGTCATGCTTTCAGGGGTACTGTAGATTTAGGCAAAATTAAATGCAGAATTCGTTGTTTGTCAACTGCACCTTCCAAAATCACAACGATTCATAAGGCCGAAAAACAGCATTTGACTATCGAATAAATGTGAAAGAGAGATCAATGTGAAGAAACAGAGTACGGTGATTTTCAGTGAGGCTGACCTGCATATTCGTCCAAATCATACGCTCAGCTGCTTAGAATAGCAGCAGCATCTGCTACAGTCTTGTCTTGAAGCATGCTAAAGTGACTTAGCGTCGAAACTTAAAAAGTTGTCAATTAATTTCTCCAATAAAATCAAAATACCCTGCACAAACTTTGTGCAAATTTAATGCCTTATATCCCTGGTTACCATTTTAGAATATACTATACTATGCGTCATCTTGAAGTACTTTAACATTATCAGTAGCCTGAGCTTCCAAGGAAGTTTTATACGCATTTAGAGACTATATGTAATTTATAAAAATTTGTGTACAATGGTAAGTAATTAAAAACCTAATCTTCTAAGCAACGATTAGTCGTTCAAAAATTTTTAATACTTTTGTTTGAATTATGACGTGTTTGTGTGTTAGTTATCACACCGAAAAAAATAAATCAGAGCCTATTCATAAGCCTTATCCAATTGGTTGGTCATCTAAATTAAAGTTTATCCCTGTTTCAATAACCTTCAGGGAACAGAGTGCTCTCAGGGTAGTCTGAAAGTTTCTTTTGATCAAGACTTAAAATTCTTTGTACTTGATCTAGCATCCCCATGGCCTGCAAAAAGCTACAGCTCTAGCCAACAACAACTCAGCATATATCATACAAGTCGAAAATGATTGGATAGTATATTAATCATGCAAAAAAATAGTCAGAAAATTATTCACTAGAATAGTTTGCATTAATGACGAAGTTCAGCAAAGTTCTTGGCTATGACTCAAGGGCCCTGTTCAGAATATGCCGAAAGCCAAGAGTTGACGGCATAGTATCTTCTGATTAATGAGGTATCAAATTGCCTTCAGTCCTTGAAGAAGCATAAATCTTGAGCCTTATTTGTTTAAACATCCTCAGGAAGATAAAGCAAGAATCGTGCTTCTTGCAACAATAGAAAATAAGCATAAAAACGTACCTTCATGTCTAAAAGTGACAAAAAACGTTTTGCAAAATGTGAAAATTCCTTCTAGCCCACAGCACACGTTTAAGCAATGATGGAATTTCAGAGAGCGAGCAAAATGGCCGACTCCAATGCTGCTACGACGGGGAGACAATTGAACAGGACACAAGTGATTCGCTGTTGCGATATCAAACAGGGTGGACAAGCGTCGTGAGAATCACACTGTGTGCTTTTGACACTATACGTTTACAGGCAAAACAGCAACTGCTGAAATTTTGTGCGATGAGAATCAGAAAAAGTATATCAACATTAACAGTTGGAATACATTATAAAACTGATTTAATTTTTGCAATGCAAGTCAATCAGATTCATGCCAGGAATTAGATAAAATGAGAAGACGAATAAATGGGTAAGACAACACAAACAACTGACAGGAATCTAACTGCTCCAGTGAGATTACATGGCAGTAGGAAGATGTTGTTAGAAAAACCGACCATCAATGTACCACTGTTTACATCAGACTGTGTTCCAACAGAGTAAAGAGCCGATAAACCGACCTCCAAATCAATAGGAGGATAAGACAAAAATATTCGCTGGATAAAGATGGACAAAAGCACATTAAATAGAAGATTATGGCGAAGTTTTGAAAAAGCTTTTACCTAGTAGTGGCTCAAGAAAATCTGATGATAACGAAGAATGAATCTATTGAGTACGAAAGATTCGGTTAACATATGCAACCTTTCAGGTAAAGGTGGTGGCGGTATGTCGGCGAAAATGTATTGGCCAGCAGCAATTCATTAACGCGACAAAAAACGGTAATTGCCTCATGTAAATTAGTGTTTAAGCTGTATTGCAGCATGCCTACAGCTACACTAGCAAAACACCCTACAGAAAATAACATAAAACCTCAATGGTATGGGACAATTATCAAGAATGACAACTTTCTGATTCCACTGCCGATAAATATTCTCTCAACTACTTCTACCGAACTTACAGAACAAAAACTATAAAGTCATTCACTTTACGACAATACTGCGGTAGTGCGAATAGCGATTCTTACATTGGATTATCTGAAATACTTTATTTACACCAGAAACATCAAACTGTAGATCAGTACACCGAAGAATGGTGCTCAGTGTTAATCAATCAAACGACACATTACACGATGCAACTTGCACCGAATCACTGAAGCCGCAGAAATACCATAAAACCGTAGGCTTTTTGACCTCAAGAAACTAAGAGGAAGAGGGCGGAGAAAACACACTGTAAAATCTGGTCATCATTTCGGTTGAAGCTGTACTGGAAACGCTTCCGTATTATCAACGGAGTACAAAAACATTACGCGTATTATTACACACACGACTTCTTCCTGTTAATTTAACGGTATACGCCTAACACATGCTTAAGAATTTAGAAAATATAGAATACGATGCTCAATCTACTGTTTTTAAGTGCATAAAATTCGCCGAGAATTATAGCAGTCATCAAATTTAAACTTAAAATCAAAACAAACTTTAAATTTACTGCATGCAGAACATTCAAATATCACACTGCAAAAAACAGTACTACAGGTTAAATAAATGTCGACTGCTCCAACGTGCAAATAAAATGCAGACTCTGATACACGCTAATCTATTGCCTGGCTATTAAAATTTAATAAAACCACTAAAAAATCTATCCATTAACATAGCTTTGTTGATTACGTCAAAGCGAAAGCAGATGACTTGTGACTGTCCGGCCGGTAGAGCATCATATTTATAGCAGAACAATCTAGGTCTGTATGAACGTAGCTGACAAAACATTATTAAGTCTACCTGCATGTCAAATGTCCCCTTCGCATCCATATACAATGAAATTCATAAAGCATTAAAGAAACAAGCCAACCCACTTCCAGTGACAGTAGCGTTGCCGATTATACAACTGTCAAATCATTAAATCAGTTAACAAGTCGCAACAAAGCACGCATGCATATGAGAGCAACAAAGAATGGATATCGGAATGACACGAAAAACGTCAAATAGAAACAATAGAAAAGTTTTGCAGTTTTATTCATTAAAAACAACTACTAATTGCTAATGGAAGCAGAATCATCGCCAAGTTCGATATCGTCCAAATCTTGGAAAAGTTCCTCGTCGATCGGTACGTCTTCACCTATTTCCGCAATGAGCTTCATGTCAGATGTATAAAGAGTCGAATCGCGCAGAAACTGCTCACGACCAGTCAGGCGATTGGATATCGCCACGGCCGTCTGCTGTTTCTTCCTCAATTTTGTCATTTCCTCGACGAAGCGATTTTTCCACGCTAGAAACGATTCCACGGTCACAGGGGTTCCTCGCACTCGTTGCGTTTCTGTCTCTTCAAGCTGGATTCGTTTCTGCTCCATCATCTGATCATAGTTACGCCTCGATTGTTCACTCAAAACATCCAATTCTTCCTTAATGTAGAAATCGCAGATTAAAAACATGATAAGTGTAGAAGAAGAAATGTTATGACTATAAGTGAAACCCCAAAAACAAAAACATGAAATACCGCATCGTATTAGCAAAAAGATTTAAAGAAACAACAGAGGAGCACGTTGCTTCGTACTACGTCACATTTACAAATCCTTCTTTTGGCGAATCATATTGTAATTTTTTTCGTATCTCATTTTACATCTAAGCTCGGTATTAGACGGTTGGTATTAAAAGGAACGGAAAAATAAAAGGCAACTGCATTCATAAAGATAGCAGCTACTTAAGTTTATTATGATTTATAATGCTCTGCACATAATACAACATCGAGCAGCGCAGATCAGAAGATCAAATGCCAAACCGACAAGTTATCAGCAAAGTCACAGTCAATCCAAAGGAATGCTTATTAAACAAACTAATGTAACCCTCTGTAAATTCGCTTGATTATGCTACGAAGAAAGTTTTATTAATCCCAGTGGTTCATTTTTTATACAAGATCTAACAAATCGACTACCCAAAGTAAAGTCGCTAAAACTAGCATTCATCACACCTTATCCCTGTGGCAGAAGCAGGGGCAAACTGGAAACGAGTCTCAAAACAACTGTCTTTGTGCATCGAAAGAAATAGTTGTCACTGGTGTTTTTTACTCATCGTCATCTCAGGCTAACAGAGCAAAAACAGCAGTAACCCACACTTATGTCTCACTGTTAAAAATGGTACTTTACATTGATATCGGGCAAGGTTCGCTGCTATAGCGAACTTCATCTTCCTTTCCATAGCACCTCTTGCTCAATGAGAATTTGCCACGCTTCGTATTGTTTCCCACCTAACTGCGGCACGTACGCGGTTCCAAGGGGAAAAGTTTTGAACAAATATCTATTCGCTTTTTGGGCCATTTTATCAAATCGATGATCATCAGCGACTATTCATTTGTGACCCAATGGTACCACCGCACGATGATAAAAGGCAACTTTGTTGGAAGCTGTCTATGAGAACTCCACAACGCTTAAGGATAGCAGATTCTTCTAGACTTACATGACAACCGCTAATATGGCTGCTATCCAAATGGCGATTATCGTTATCGTGACTGTTCTTATAGCTCGACCCTTCCATATGTTATACAGCTTGCTAGAATTCGTTAAAGATCGTCGGATACACTGATTCACTTCATCATCACTATCACCATTGTTGTTCAACACAGTTCACATTACTTGAAATGACCCATTTCGTTCGTCATAAAATCACCATTTCATAATATAATTGAACTGTCGGTCTCATCAGACGCTCTCATTATCTTCGCCTTTGCCGCGTACGTATAGCAATACCTCATAGGGGTGTTGCACACCCTTTCATCGAGTGTGTGTAGGTTAATTAAGCAGTTGCTCAGCAGCATCAAGTCATCGGCATATTCAAGGTTCATTAGCAATACCGCTGGTTATTGCGTGTTGCATTGATGACTAATGGTGAGTCCCATGGTGCAATTTGGGCAAAAGCACTTCCGCAAAACGTAGTCAGCCATGCTGTTGAATAACATAAGAGAGAGCCCTTGACCTTACTATATCCACTGGTAAGATTCAACAAGCCCAACAATGATACTTCAGTTCGAACGGCGCACTTAGTCACGTCGTACAGAATATCCATCAGGTTTACTATCGCCTACGGAATGCCGTAATGGCGAATAACACGCCACATTATCTGACGACAGACTGAATCGAAATGTACCCGGAAGTCCAGAAACGTTGCATGCCAGGGAAGTTGGAAGATCCGGCACTGCTCAATGGTTCGCTTCAGCCCAAAGATGTTGTCCATTTCAGAAGCGTGTTTGTTTATTTCTTAGGGAACGATAGATGACTTCCCTTAGTCCTCTAAGAATGATTCACGCGACAACCTTTCGCCAGATGCGATCAAAAGCCAGGAGGATCTAGCGAAGATGGTTTCCACTTGTGCACTTCAGGAATTCAGCCCCAATCTCATGATGACGTCTCCTTCAAGGCATTTCTTAACTGGCGAAGACTTAAATTGTTGTTATGATCCACAGTTGCATCAGTGTCCTGCTGTTAAAGTCAAGAACCAGTAGCGGCGTTGACGACACATTCATTAAATCTGTTGTTGTTGGCGAATCTGCTGTTGATTTCCACTGGAACGACTCGCGAATGAGTGACACAATCTTACAACCTCTGCGTATCAAAGCGGGCGTGCCACCGTTTCCGGGATGTTTCTTCAGTCGTTATCAGTCAAAAGCAGCACTACATGCCCACTACGAAATGGCTTGTTCCTAAGTCAGAACATCGTTCTGCCCAAATGTTATGGAAGACAATTCGCGATTTATCGCTGTTCAACACGTGGTGATTGACTTGGCTTCTGAAGTGACCTCTTGATGCTATCCATGCCAACTCATAGATAAAATGATACAAAAACAGCTTCTTGGCAATGACGAAGCCGTGCGTAGCCAAAAGGTCTAACAAGAGGTGGCCATTCTTATTGGCAACATTGCTGCCATTCCGACCTAACACGCGTGGCCAGTTGTCGTAGTCAGGGCAGGACACGGATTTAGGATCAAAAGCGATGATGGGCAACTGATGTCGCATGAACCAAGAACCGCATGAATGCAGGCATAAAACGGGTCCTTCTTCAGGTCCTCCGCGACGCGTTAGTAGGGGCATACACGGCAACAAAATGCGTCTTAACGTCTCTCGCTAATAACCGGCGAAAGATTATACAGTCGCTCGTACATTCGACGGATAACAAAGCCTTCGCCGATCGTGATGATACAGCAGAACTTCTTTCATTCTTCAACCCGCTGAAGTCGGTAGCCTGGTAGGTGGGACTCTGAGAGTCTCATAACGTACAGCTTTTATTTCTTTGTGATCCGAGTGACGACGTCAAGTTTGGCGTCATCGTACAACGCCCTTATACTCCAAAAAGCGACAGGAGGTTTCTCCTCACAGAAGTTGAGCTTCAGCTTCTGCCTGTCAGATTTCTTGGTAAAAAATGCTTGAACCGCCCTGTGAATGTAAACCACTCATTGTACAAGGGGCAGCAAAAGCGCGACGCAGCCGTTCACCGCCCCAATAATGTACAATGGAAGAAGTAACCGCCTGTGAAAAGTGAGAGAAATAGAATAGAAATTATCATGATTATCTGGATTGAAAACTCATAGCATACTTACAGCTAATCAGTTTTATAATATCCAACGAAAGTTCGAAGGAATTCGAAAGAATACCTGTACGGCACAAACGAGGGTAAAAATCATTGGTGCTCCAATGCTGTCGGCTGCCACGGCGGCGACCTTTTCGGTGATAGCGGCAATGTTCTCTTCAGTCATATTTTCTGAGGAAATGGAGACTTCAGGAAGTTCTTTCGGATATTTATCATTCAAAATGACTTCTAGGATGCAGCTAGCCACGTGACTCTGTTTTTCATCTTCTTCCGGGGTGTTCGAGGAGACGAATATCGAAAACCTAGCCGGATAGTCAGGTTTGACAATCGTCAGTTCATCTGGATACATCGACAACAGTACTTCGATCTCTTGCGCCTGTTCCTCCGCATGATTCATTGTTACTCACGTGAAGCTAACAAAAACCTGAAATTCGGGCCATATCAGGCTGGCAGAGCAACAGTCGTTCGCTTAACGACTCTTTTCAGCAGCATTCAACAAAAGAGCAAGCAATCAATAATAAACGGCACTACGACAAATAAATTTATTTCTTTGAAAAACAGCGCCACATCCTGCACTTTCCCACAGAAATTACACGGGCAATCAAAGACGGTGGGTAAGAAACAGTAAACGGTAGAAGAGGGGTGGGGGAGAGGTAGACATAGAGACACATGTGAACCTCAAATATAAAATCATAACGAAGCAGAAACGATATGACATAACGGGTAAATCGGAATGACAGCAGTCACAACAAGTTTTTAACAAAAAACCTTAAAAGTTTTCATAATAAGGCATTCATTACAATAGGCATAAGACTTCAATACGCTTGGGTAGCGCCCTGTGAGTGATAAAATTGAATAAAATGCTGGCTACTGTCATGGATCTAGCTTCTACGCAAGACATGCATTATACGCTGGCAACTAAATACAGTGAAGAAACATCAAATGCTTTAAAGGCAAACCCGTAACAACGGTCAACGTACTTTCGCATCTCATGCATTAAATCTGAACCAGAGATCAGTTTCATGGGCAATGTGTCTCATAAGTGAAAATTGTGGGCCATGCAGTATGTGCCAGGGAAGTGAGGCCAGCGACATCGCTCATTCCAACATGGTAGTAATGCATTAAGAATCGAAATCGAACGGTGTGATTGCACAGTAGGAGCGGCCGCCGACCGTAATTATACCGGCGGTTGCTCAAGATTCAACTCCAGGCCCTTGTTGTCACAGAAGTGGGGGCTTATTTCAATACAGTTTAAGTAGACGCAAATTTCACAAGACCACAGAGGAGTGACGACGAAGAAGACGATGAGGAGAGCGATTACGATGGCCAAAACAGCAAGAGATACGAGAATAATGACCAGTCGAAGGTGACTATCATGCTTCTTGAACTGGATGAACGGAAATAAGGCCAACGACAGTAAGAATCCAGCCAAGAAGCCGAAAAAATGGGCATAATTGTCGATCCACGGCATCAGACCAGCTACGAAAAGAAGTAACAACGGCAGTAGTAGCTGACTGAGAGCCTTCCAAGGATGCGCAATAAATCGCCACGAGTAGACCACATCCACAATCAAGCCGGCTAACAGCCCGAACTGGCTACCCGATGGACCAACCTCCGCGTGATACGGTACAAACACAGCTGATGCTAAGTTGCCGGTGACGCCACTAATGATGTAGATGATGGCCAAACGAAGCCAGCCTATCAGTCGCTCCAAGTCGCGCATGATCACGAACTGCAGAAGCACGGTGAAAGCACAGTGGATTATCCTAAATCACGTAACATTATGTTATAAAACGGTCATCAAAACTGTACAGAACTGAATATTATTAGAAACGGATGAACACCGATTCATGGTAAAGCTATCCGTTTTGCGTCCTCAAATATCGCGAAGAATTGATAGCCGAAAAATTAAAAGTTAACAGCCTTGCCAGAGTAGCTCATTTTTATCTTTTTGACAAAGATATTCGAGTGCCAATTTGAGGAAAGGAAAAACGAGGCAACATGCCATACTGGCTACTTAGGTACAAGTCTGGAATAAATGATATCTGCGATGAGAACATCAGTAATAGACAAAGAATGCCACGTTCTTCTGTGGACGGTTAATGAAAATGGATGTGTTAAATGTTCATGTATGAAAATTTAGTAATCGCCACACAGATTAAAAGGATTGTCAGTCAAGCTTAAAGAGGCAGATATCCTTTGAAAAACATACAATACGGAAAAATAAACTCTGCCCATTCGGTAGATTCGTTCAAAGCTCGTCAGTGAATCTCGCTGATTTTGCTGCATAAAACAGTCGGCAGAAACTGGAGCGCTGGTTTTAAAGATCACAACAGCTGAGGACCATACAAACTGCAGAACCAGCCAGGACTGCCCTGAAACAGGTGCGAGAAGAACCGAAACATTGGTGCTGAAAAAGTTGTTTGCATTGCGTATAAATAAATCGTTTCTATACATTATTTAGTTTTCCGTATTTCGTACCAATATCCAAAAGTTCATTTTCAATATACGCCAATGAAATTCGTATTATGCACCATTTCAACATTCATTGGATTTAAGAGTGATAATTTTCTCCTTTCCGACCTTTTGGCTTCCGGCGCAAAAGCCACCAAGGTAAATT